GTTCGGAGAACTGGCAAATACCATCTCTGGCTGGACCCAGAGTGGGGTGGGAATGGAGATTTTGCAGTATCCTTCCTCTGCCACACCCGCCAAACCACGCCCACCAAGCTACACCCACAGAACTGGTAGTAAAATTGTTTGAATTTGAATCCATCTTGCACTGCATCCAAAAAAGAGGTGGGTTGCGCGGGGGGAAGAAACAAATGGAATTTGTATAAAGGTATACCTTTAAAAGAAAAACTAGCAATATGGAAAATAATTTTTAATGCCACCGATATTAAATGGGGTTTACTAAAAGCCGGAAATACACCACGTAAAATAGAGAATGGAAGGGAGATAAAGAGAGGGAAAGGAGACAGGAGAGAGGGAAGTAGAAGGGAAGGAAAGAGTAGCAGAGTGGGAAGGTGTGGAAAGAGAGGAGAGGGAGAGAGCAAGGACAGTAGAGAAGAAAGAGGGAGCAGAGGGAAGAAAGGAGGGAGGAGGAGAGAGGGAGAGGAGAAGAGTTGAAGATGAAATAGACAATAATATAGTGTATGGAAAGCAGAAGAGCAAATACAAATTGAAGAGGCTTCATGGCAAGAGAAATTGATATATTATTGAATATTCAAAAAATGTTGGTTGAAATGTAATGGTATACGTTGGATTATAGTATATGTATGTTAAAAAATAAAAAACGTTTGGCAAAAAAAAACATACTGAATTTCATTTCTCTTACCCAGAAATTGCAAGACACGTTTTCGGAGTACCAGGGCGATTCTGTTGACCAGTTGCAAAATGTCTCCTCTTTCAGGTTTGACCGTGCAGGACATAGTATTCGTCTTTGACCACGACGGGAGGAGGAAAACGGGAGAGGCGTTTGTGCAGTTCGCCACACCGGAAATGGCTAATAAAGCTTTGTTGAAGCATAAGGAAGAAATTGGAAACCGGTAGGAAAATCATGGAAATGGGCAGAGGGGAGGGGGGGGCAACTTTTAAGAGGGAATGAAAGCTTGCCCACGAGGCAAATGGTTTTTGGTTTTATTTTTAATGGGAGTTGGCTCTAGGGCGGGCAGTGTGTTTTTAGGATTGTGTGTATGTGTGTGTTTGTGCTGCATACTAAAAATTTGGATGTTTGAACTGCGCTTTTGTATATTTTTAAAAAAGCTGCTTTGATAATAACCGTGGCCTAACACTTTCTCTTCAAAAACCTTTCCAGCTACATAGAAATATTCCCGAGCCAGAAAAGTGCCATTCGAACACATAACGACTTTTTCCGATATAAGAAGATGATGGCGTCTACGGTGCCAAAACCGTCTTCTGAAAACATTTTTGAAGAAAACAAGTTGAGCGAGGTCTCGAAGCCCAGTCCGGTGTATGAAAATGAAACTAGAAGCGGTGAGCCTGTGGCACGGTTTCTTTTTCAAGTCTGCTTCCCAGAATCATTTTTTTTAAAAAGGACGGCGGGAAAAAGATCCAGTGGTCCATCAAGCCTGCCCTTTTGGGGGTGGGTGGGTTTCATTTTATTTCTTTGCTTATTTATGGTTCATCGCACAGTCAGACAGATGTTCAGACTTGGGACGTTTTTGTCCACCTATCAAACACTTCCCAAGGATCTGGGATAGGCAGATGTGGAGGTTTGATGGTGTTAGAGGTATCATCACAGGCTGTGAGCTGTTCTTAGTAAAGCTGCCTTTTGCAATTGACTGATGGTGAATATGTCAATGCCAGTGGGATGCTCCACTTGTTTTGGGATTGCACCCAAGGCACCTGTTACTATTTCTTTTCTTTTGCCACAGTAGCAATAGCAATAGCCATAGCAGTTAGACTTATATACCGCTTCATAGGGCTTTCAATAGCAATAGCAGTAGACTTATATACCGCTTCATAGGCCTTTCAGGCCTCTCTAAGCGGTTTACAGAGAGTCAGCATATTGCCCCCAACAATCTGGGTCCTCATTTTACCCACCTCGGAAGGATGGAAGGCTGAGTCAACCTTGAGCCGGTGAGATTAAAAATTATTTTCCATATTGCTAGTTTTTCTTT